TGAGTTTTGTTCCACATTGTTCTCCCTCTTTATGCAGGATCTCCTACATCCCTTCCAAGTGGATGGCAGTGGTAGCTGGGCACCATCTAGTTCTTTCCAAGGCTATTAATCTTTAAGGAAGCTGTCTCATCTTTCTCCTGAGGAGTGGCCGGTGTGTTCAAACTGCCAACTTTTGCATAAGCAGCTGAATGCTTTAAGCACTATGCCACCAGAGGCCCTTAGTCCTTGGCTTTATAGATTCTGAAACTTGATTTTATTACTTACCTGCAAGATGACCTGATCTTGGGAGATTAATACCAACCAGACTTCTAATTAAAGAATGAGTGTAGTAGGAGGGAAGGAGCTCTGGTGGCACAGTGCCTAAGGCATTTGACTGCTAACCAGAAGGCTGGCAGTTCAAACCCACCAGCCACTCCTTGGAAGGAAGAATGGGCAATCTACTTCCGTAGTGTTACTGCTTCAGAAACTCAAGGAGGGGTCGCTATGAGTTGGGTTCAACTTGATGGCAGTGAGTTTGGTTTGGTTTGGTAGTAGGAGGGAAGGAACATGAGGTTTGGAAATGGAACCACAGGAATTTAAATGCTGTATTTCTTGCTTAAAGGAACCCCGGTGGGGAGTGGTTAAGTGCTTGGCTGCTAACTGAAAGGTTGACTGTTTGAACCCACCAGCCACTCAGTGGGAGAAAGATGAGGCAGTCAGCTTCTATAAAGATTACAGCCTCAGAAACCCTCTGGGGCAGTTCCACTCTGTCCTCTAGGGGCGCTGTGAGTCAGAATAGACTCCATGGCTGAATAGACTCCACTCTCAGGGGCTTTGGCCAGTATCCTTTCCCCATGCCCTCACATGCCCTCTCCTGGGTGTGGTTTGGGCTTTGCTTCTGTGAAGATTGAAAGCCTTGGAAACCCTGTGGGGTAGTTCCACTCTGTCCTCTAAGGGCACTGTGAGTTGGAATCGACTTCATGACTGTGGGTAGTTGTGTGTTGCGAGTTGCTCTCCAGACATCCCGTGTCTTTTCCCCTTGCTGGTGTCTTCTCATTGTAATAAGCTTTAGCTGCTTTATGTATATCTACATATATGCGTAACTATATGCATGTGGGTGGTATTGGGGACCCTTGAAGCAGCTTGTCACTTCGAGGCAGCTTTTGTAGGTGAATGTCTCTTCTCTTCATCTAGTGTTCCTTGAGACTTGGTTCTAACAATGGATCATTGTTACTGTTTAGTTCTATATAAGATGTTTGCTTACTACAAGCCCTGTGCTCCAAGTGTTGACAGTGCCCCTTAGCATTCCTAAGGAGCAGATTCTTGAGGTTCTTGAGAGTGAAGGAATTTCTGAGTACCCCTCTGGGATATTAAAGATGGAGACTTAAAGGTAGAAAGGACTGTTGAAAAACCCCTTTTGTATCTTCATTTCTCATTTGCTCTCCTTCAGAGAGAGGGCAGAGGACTGGTGGGGGCTTGGTCCAGAGATGGTTGACTTGGGGAAGGCTGTTTTCTCAATCAGGCCTGCCGTTTCAGCTCAGAGGTCGGAAATTCAGGCAGCCCTGACGTGCTTCAGTGACAACTGATGCTCGCTAATGACCACCCTTCTTGCTCTGTAGGAGCTCTGGTGGTGCAGTGGTTAAAGCATTGAGCTGCTAACCAAACGTTGGTGGTTGGAACCCACTAGACTCTCCATGGGAGAAGGATAAGGCTTCTGTAAAGACAGCCTTGGAGACCCTGTGGTGCAGTTCCACTCTGTCCTCTAGGGGCGCTGTGGGTCAGAATGGACTCCACGGCAGTGGGTGTGGTTTGGGCTTTGCTTCCGTGAAGACTGACAGCCTTGGAGACCCTGTGGTGCAGTTCCACTCTGTCCTCTAGGGGCGCTGTGGGTCAGAATGGACTCCACGGCAGTGGGCGTGGTTTGGGCTTTGCTTCCCTGAAGATTGACAGCCTTGGAGACCCTGTGGGCAGTTCCACTCTGTCCTCTAGGGGCGCTGTGGGTCAGAATGGACTCCACGGCAGTGGGTGTGGTTTGGGCTTTGCTTCCGTGAAGACTGACAGCCTTGGAGACCCTGTGGTGCAGTTCCACTCTGTCCTCTAGGGGCGCTGTGGGTCAGAATGGACTCCACGGCAGTGGGCGTGGTTTGGGCTTTGCTTCCGTGAAGATTGACAGCCTTGGAGACCCTGTGGTGCAGTTCCACTCTGTCCTCTAGGGGCGCTGTGGGTCAGAATGGACTCCACGGCAGTGGGCGTGGTTTGGGCTTTGCTTCCCTGAAGATTGACAGCCTTGGAGGCCCTGTGGAACAGTTAGTTCCAAGAGTGGAACTCCAGGGGCGCTGTGGGTCAGAATGGACTCCACGGCAGGAGGCAGGTGAAGTGTTTCCTGCCTCCTCTAGTCTGGCCTGTGTCATAGCAGTGCAGCCTGCTCCCTGTGACACAGAGAGACCTGAGCAGGGCTGCACAGGCGGCAGTCTTCTTTGTCCTTCCTCCTTCTCTTTCCACTCTCAGGGGCTTTGGCCACATCCTTTCCCCATGCCCTCACATGCCCTCTCCTGCTTCTGTGGTCGTGGTGCCAACTCTCGGGGTGCAGCCAACTATTGATCTGATGTTTACATGGCACTGTGTCCCTGGTGGACACGTGTGGTCCAGAGGATGACCTTGTTACACTCACCTGTAATCAGAGGAATGTGTGGGCCGGTGCATGGGGCAGTGGGCTGTCTGTGGTTCACGGTTATCCAGTCTAACCTTCAGAGTCAGGGCATGAGAATCAATGGTGTTAGCATTTTCCCACCATCATAGAGCTGATTGTTTCCCATTCTCTCGCCCTTCTCTTTGTGTGGCCGTGTGGAAAAGAACCACCTGTGGAACAGCAGGAAAGAATGCAGCTTGGCAGAGGGTCTTACTGTTGTTTAAAAAAAAACCTCACTGTCGTCCAGTTGGTCCCAACTCATAGCGACCCCTCCTTGGGTTTCCGAGGTGGTATCTCTAGGAAGTAGATTGCCCAATCTTCCTTCCAAGGAGTGGCTGGTGGGCTTGAACTGCCAGACTTCTGGTTAGCAGTCAGATGCTTTAGGCACTATGCCATCAGAGCTTCTGTTATTAAATCAACTCTAAAGTATTTGTGGAAAAATTTGGAAGAAGAAAAAGTCTGCCTGTAATCATGCCACATTAACCTGTCTGCACCTTCATTGCTTCGTGCTCCTTTTTGGTTTACCCCTGTAGAGCTGTATTCATTGAGCTTCTGTGATTGT